GAAATATTGTTTATGTTTTCAGAGGAAAAGTTGTTTCTCATAAGATTTTTCAAATATTAAATGCAACTCTATATGATAGATTCACCACATTGTTTTTGCTGAATATATTATTCTATAGTAAACAGTTAACTTTGAGAGCTTGAAGTATTTAAACCTTGCCTATTCCAAAGTACACGCCATTGACTGGTTTTTAGAAGATGATTTAAGTCTTTGAAATGCCTTGCCTCAGATTCCAAATGGTATGCTATGCATAGTCCAAGTCATATGAATAATAAGACTAATCAGATAAGGTATATGCCTCCATGTACCTTTAACGAAACAATAGACTTTATGCTGAATATACAATTCATGATATGGGTGTCCCAGGGCTGCGCTTTTTGTTCTCTGGGAGATCTGGTACTGAAAGACAGCATGGCTAAAGTATCCAGTCAGATAAAGGAAGGGCTGCATCTAAGTGATCAACATTCCCGGTAAAAACACCTGGCAGCAAAGCTTGGGAGCGCCTCTCTGGCTAGTGGTACTTCATATGTGTTGTCATGCATTGTCGCAAGATTAAGGATCCTCCCATAAGGAAAGTGTAGCTATGATTTTAATGTGTACCTTTTCACTGGAATGACATGTAACTATCGCAGCATTTTTCCCGAGTTCTGTTATGTCTCTCCAAAAACTGAGCAAACTTGAGTATTATTTACATAATTTGTACTCATGAGTATATATATATGAAACGGATTTATGAAATCATACCCATTATATATTGAGAATTATGACCCAGACATTCTTCCAAATACCTTATAATATATGATTGTGGTCAATCTTCAGAAATCTTTGTACCTAGAATTAGTCTTCCTCCATACTGTCTTTCTAAGCTATTTACAATCGCCTTCCATGTTGTATAGGTAGTGTTATTTTACAAATAATTATTCTAGCTCTTGGAGTGTTTCTCAGTGATATCAAGTCATATATTTTATAATTTCTATAACTAGGATTTGAATGGAAGTCTAAATCTTCCTGAATTTTAGGTTTTAAATATTTTTGTGTGTTTTGTGAACAAATTGGCATTTCTACTATTAATTGGTGGGTAAAAGAAAAGACTAGAGATTCTTTGCTTTTAAGGTATAATAACCCTAGTATTTAATTTATAGGTTCTAGAAGTAGCTACTCACTCTGTCTCCCCCTTCTCTCTTTCTCTCCTTTCTCTCTCTCTCTCTCTCTCTCTCTCATACACACACACACACACACACACACACACACACACACACATATACTCCCTCCTGTATTCACTAGTACTTTATTGAAGTTATCGGTGATAGTTATCAAAACTTAGGTAAATAATTTGTGGTGACAATTTTTTAAACCATTTGTTTTATGTTTAAAATGAACAAAATTAAAAGTGCTTATATGAAGTTTGTGAGTCTTGCACACAAGTGTTTTATTTCTTTCATTTGGCGCACATGGCTGTACTGCATGAAGTTTAATGTTTTCAAAGATCGTGGTTTCGGTGTTACCAAAAACTAATGACAGGTACATTGTTTTTGTCTTCTGATCTCTTAGATTACTATTGCAACATCATTACTCGTCTATTCATTCAAGTTAACTTCAGCTAGTAAGGAGATTTCAGCACTAGGTGAACTTTAGTGCACTGATGAAGGTCTCTTCTGGAGCATTATAATTATACATAGATGTTCATAGGTGTTGAAACCTTATTCTAAACCTTTCCCCTCCATGGCAATTTCCTTTGAATCTTTCTCTTTCAGATTCAGGAAATTTGCTGTTACCTATATCTATAGCTCTCCCTCTGTATTTACCTCTGAATTACTGGACTCGGCTTTCTGATATTCATTCACACTTTATTTAGTTTAGTAAGACTTCCGTCTCTCTTGTTTACCTCAGTCTCTGGTATGGTCCATGGCTTTATACATGGCAGGTAAATTTGCTGAGTTTCCCCATCTGCAACAAATAACAGGCTTTCTTAGTTAAATTTGCAGTGGCCATCAACTCTCAGACACTTTTATCATTCATTTAATCTTGACAACAACCAGCTACAGTATGTATAGGGTGGTATTGATTTTATAGATGAGAAAACTGAGGCTTTGTGAGATTGTGGCTTGCCTGGTACTATAACTAGCAAGTGATAGAACTAAGAACTAACTTAAGGGATCTGGCTCCAGATTCTCAGTCATGTATATGTATATATATATATATATATATATATATATATATATATACTAGTTGAGTTGTACTTTCAATAGGACTGACCTCAACTTAAGTGCCCCACCCCAATTTTTAAATGACCACTTTCATTATTAAAATTTAGTTTGCCTATAATTATATCCATAAATATTTGTGAATTGCCCAATATTTGAACCTATGCAACTAAAGTTATGTCACTTTTATTCAAAGCCCCTTCCTATACTTTGGATTTGATCGCACAGTTTCTGTCACCAGTGCTAGCTCTCATAGCTAATTTACATAGGTTCAGTGTCTTCCCATCTTTTACAATACATACCTAAAGAAAGAAAATCTGCTCCAGTCTACTGCTCAAGTCTATACAGACCAGGCATAAAAAGTTTGATAATCTGCAGCTTCTTTTGCAGAAGAGCTATTCATCAGCAGAGTAGTTTATATCACACCTTTTCTAGTTTGGAGTTTTCAGCTGGGAATGGGTTTTCAACAATCTCCAATATGTAATATTTTCATGGGGCTACCTTTAAGGAGCGATAGCACAACGGGTGGGGCGTTTGCCTTGCACATAGACCCCGCGGCCCACCCAAGTTTGATTCCTCTGCCCCTCTCGGAGAGCCCGGCAAGCTACTGAGAATATTTCGCCCGCATGGCAAAGCCTGGCAAGCTCCCCGTGACGTATTCGATATGCCAAACACAGTAACAACAAGTCTCACAATGGAGACATTACTGGGCCTGCTCGAGCAAATCGATGAAAAACAGTACTACAGTGCTATCTTCAACTTAGAACTATTGATAAACTCCCAAGTAAGAGGGAGTAAGTTTATTACTGTAGCCCTGTAGCACTGTCCTCTCATGGTTCATCGATTTGCTCGAGCAGGCACCAGTAACATCTCACAACAAATTGGGAGATTGGTGTTACTGTTTTTGACATATCGAATGCATCACGGTAGCTCGGCAGGCTTTGCCTTGGGGGCTACTCTTGGTAGCTTGCTGGGTTCTCCGAGAGGGGCAGAGGAATCGAACTCAGGTCGGCCCCGTGCAAAGCAAACGCCCCACATGCTGTGCTATCGCTCCAGCACTAAATTTTGTTTTTGTTACCATCTTCAACAGGACAAAATCAAAAATAACTGCCATTAGTGCAATGCTTGCTTCTTGCTAGACTCTCTACTAGGTGCTTTACCTGTGTAAGTCAGCATTACATCTTAAGTGAATGTCTAGCATTTTCGTGAGATACAGAATGTTACCCTCTAAGGTAACGGGGCAGTGAAATGCAGCAGCGGTACTGCAAGGTGTGGGGCTAGTGTTTGATTGGATGTCTGCCCAGTTCCAAAGACTGTTTTTAAAAAACATTTTCAAGTACATTGCTGCACAGAGTTTAAAAGAAAAGTTGAAATGTAATTTTAAAGGTATTTTTGATAACTTGGCAAACTCCCCGTGGCCTACCCAGTAGGCCAAATACCAGTGACATGATGGGTCTCATTCTCCTAACCCTGAAAGAGCCTTAACTATGGCACTTTTTAAAAAAATCTCAGGGCTAGGCGAAGGAGACGTTTCTGGGGCCTGCTCAAGGCAATCGACGAACAGGATGATCGTGATCATGATCGTGATTTGATAACTTGAGGGAATTAGCAGAAGACATACTTCATTTTCTCACTCCTCGAAAGAATAACTTTTTTTCTTTGATGTTGATGTGTCATGATAA